AGTGCAAGCTGCCTGTCACCAAGGGATAGATAGCATGATGGTCCTCAAATGGTTTTTGCTGGAGAAATTTTAGGCTGGTGACATCCCAGTGATGGCATAAGTAGCCACAGAGCAGGAGAGGCTGCTGGTTGAGAGGTTGATCTAAGGGAGTAGATATTCCTTTTTTGTATTGGATGTTAATATATAGAGGTATATGCGTTTCCTAGAGTAAATATGGATTGATTAATGTTGTTTGGGGGTTTTGTTTGTTTGTTTGTTTTTAAATGGTAACCTAATTGCTTGGACAAGCTCTTTAGGTATTATCTTGAAGGCTGCATTAGAAATTATGCCTCATCACACTATTCATAGAATCATAGAATCATGGAATCTTAGGGGTTGGAATGGACCTTAGAGATCATCTAGTCTCAACCCCCTGCCCTGGGCAGGGACATCTCCCACCAGAGCAGGTTGCTCAAGGCTTCACCCAACCTGGCTTTGAACACTGCCAGGGTTGAGGCAATTCAGAGGGTCTTTCCCAGTCTTAAGAAGCCATAAGTAATATTGAGTCAAACATTTCTGATACTTGTTGAATTTGAAATGAATATTAATATATATTTAATGGAGAATACATAATCCTATCATTGACTCTTCGATAAGTCTTGTAGCAGGAAAATAAAATCTTGGAGTTGTACCAGTTTGTCAGATCCTAAGAACATCAGCTCTATTCTCTGCCAATTTCTTGCTAGCAAATTACAGAATTCTACAGGGATTTCAAATAACATGTTGTTCCAAGGATCATTTCATTTTAATAATGACCTTTATTAGTGGTATTTTTGTATGTGGAAAATGTCATGCAGTTTTAATGATCTTTCAGAACATGTCTGTGAGTTGAACAGCTTACCATGATCACACACATTTGCTTTGAAAAGGAGAGTGAGAGCAGTGGAGAAAGTTGGCAGATTAACTGTTTGTAGAATTCAAGATCTTCCATCTCACTGCTCTGGTCATTGACTTCTTCTGCACTCACTGATTATCTACTTCTAGTTATCCACACGCGTAAGCGCCTGCCAAGACCTTTGGTACAAATCCTGCAAAAACTAATTCATTGATCTCTTCCATTCTTTTATTCTTCTTAAGGTTTACCTGCAGGACCAAACTCCATTATTTTTCTGCCATTTTCTCTTTCTCTGACACACTCATCTGCTTACTGGTGTTACTTTGCTGTCCCATTGAATTCATTGAAGGTTTGTGCTAGTTGCAGTTCACATCCATCCTTGTTGGCCCCACGAAGTCTTGCAGGAATGGTCGTTCCATTCAGTATATAGGTCCAACATACATCCAATGCAACTATCTTCTCCATGGAGTAAATCTTCAGGTTTGTGACTTCTTTAATGACAACAAAGTCTTTCCAGTCCCTGTAAAGTGTCCCACCAAGGCTAACACTACTTTGGGTCAGTGGTTGCTTGTCCTGTGCATTTGACAAAGTCATAGGTTCCTCATTGGCTTTTTGCCATTTGAAATGAGTGGGTGAGGTGGCTTTACTGGAATGGTCTTACCTGTCTTAGAAAGTCAGGTGGACCTGATGTAAGTGGATGTTATGACCCCTGTGTCTCTAGGGGGAGAAGTGTTGTGCCACACTCCCCTTCTTGTTCCTACACAGTGCTGGAGATTTCAGAGGTTTATGGGTTCTGTGTAAGATTGGCACCTCACCAGATTCCTGCACTCTTACCTGTTCTATATTCATAGAATCATAGAATTTTAGGAGTTGGAATGGACCTTAGAAATCATCTAGTCCCAGCCCCCTGCTCTGGGCAGGGACACCTCCCACCAGAGCAGGTTGCTCAAGGTTTCATCCAGCCTGGCCTTGAACACTGCCAGGGCTGGGGCAGCCACAGCCTCCCTGGGCAACCTGTGCCAGTGTCATTCCTCGCTTTGAGGATGTTACTTTGATCCATGCTCAGGAGAAGATTCTTTCTTCTCTGGAGAAAGTTTTGAAGTGAACGAAGTGTGTAACAATAATAGTTTTGCTTGCTGACAATAATTCAACTTGATCCCAGACCATTTGTAATGAAAATACTTTTCTCCTCACTAATCCCGTGTTATAATAATTACAAGAGCAGATCAATAGCAGGAAGTATAAAACCAAGTGTTACTTCAGATATTAAGCCACAAATTGATCTCCCTGTCAAACCCTAAGTAAGTGCTGTATCAACACATGTTCCAAAGATTTGAGGCCATTCTGAAATGTAATAGTGATGGACCAACAGAAGGAGAACAGTAATTTGTTTTATGCAAGTGTATTAACCCTTTGCAGCTCAAATCTATGTAATCCTGCTATTATCTCGTTATGTTTTGCATTCACACATTGCATCAGTGTTTTCTGACTATTGCTCCATTTGGCTCTGGTAACAGGATTATCTCTGGATAATAATGATCCTCTCTTGAATTAGAAAGAGCTACCAGTACTTGCACATGATCCAACACAAGTCTTGTGCAATTGGCAAAGTATTCCAGGATGTATATGGCAGATAATCTAGTCCAAGTCAGTTATTGACCAAAATAATTCCTTCTCAGGAAAATAAGGACAGCACCAGAAGACCTTCATATCACAGGAGAGTCTAATTTCCTTGGACAACTGATGACTGTTGCAAGCCTTTACTGACTAAATCATACTGACCTGCTCTAAAGAAAGTAGAGGAAAAAATCTGAGAAATTCTAGAATTCTTTGGAAAAAGATAGTAGAAAATGATGTGTTGGAGCCTTTCTTCCAAAGGGTAAGACACATAGTGTTTTGGGGTTCCTTTTCCCTTCTAATGAGTAGAAGCATGAAAGTTGTGCTTGTACTACTATAGGTATGATGAGGTTTTAGAAGCTGCAAATGTCACTGCTCAATTCACTTTATGGTGGTTCTTTTATAAGCCACTGAGAAAGATTGAAAGGAGTTAGGTGTCTCTGAAGAATTTGTTCTTGAATATGTTTTATAAGCGTTGAACCTTGCTGTGGCTTAGCTGTAGCACATTTGAGAAGTCAGCTTCTCCTGTAGGAGTGCTTGCCAGGCATGTGTAGTGATCTGAAGAAATAGGTTTTGCTTTCTGTGGGTTTCCTCTCCCCTGATGAGTGTATGGAAGGAGCACTTAGGAGTCTGAGGGTTTGGTTCCTGCCTTCCTAATGCTAGGAAATTCTGCAGGGAAAGGTTTGATGGATGATTAAATTTTTGTTCCTGTTTTTTTGGGAGGTAAAAGACAGTACTGAGTCCTTTGAGTTTCTTTTTCATGGGCAAGTGAAAAATTTGGACTGGACATTTTGTCTCTGGTGAGACACTGGCACAGGTTGCCCAGGGAGGCTGTGGCTGCCCCAAACCTGGCAGTGTCCAAAGCCAGGTTGGATAAAGCCTTGAGCAACATGGTCTGGTGGGAGGTGTCCCTGCCCAGGGCAGGGGGTTGGGACTAGATGATCTATGAAGTCCATTCCAACCCCTAAAAATTCCATGAGTCTATGAATAGTCAGAGCAAGAAGCCTCTTTGTTCTAAACCTCTCTCACCTACTAACGAGTCAGTGCTCTCAAGTAGAGATGACTAGCTGAGCAGTCAGAACTTCTATTTGTCCTAACAGAAATTACTCCTGTGTTTAACAGTTTATTAGTATGAGGGGGAAGGAAGGTGGTAATTCTCAGGTCTTGGCCACCACTGAAGCTTTGTCAGCCAGTTATGATTAGCTTGATCATTTAATTACTTTTCCAGCGCTAAGAATAAGCATTGCTTCACAGTGGAGAACAGAACAAAACCACAGGTGTCCCTTCAGCAGAGCAAGACAGCTTTTCTCTAGTCTAGCCTTTTGTTGTTACAGCAATGTTTCCAGCTGTGATACTTCCTTGCTGCCAAGTAGTAGTAAATAGCTGTATAAATCACAGTAATGCTTGTACCATTCGGGTACAGCCAATTGCTTTTGAACTCTAATGAGTGCCCATATGCTTAGTCTCATATTTCAAAGTTAATTGTTAGTATTTCTGTGGAAGTAATGGCTTTGGGAATTGAAGAGTGAACACGTTTGAAGTGCTTCATCTTGAAACTTTGGATTTAATTCCTCACTTGAAGCATACACTGTGATTCTTTCCTTCTTTTATTCTTCTTAATGTTCACCTGCAGGACAAAACTC